CGTGACATCAGTTTAAAGTAAGCTAACATGAGTGTCCACATTTCATTGTCCGCTACTGTACTTAAGTTATGTGGAAAAAGGAAAGCGCTACCTCTGAAAATAGCTTACAAAAAAATTTTTAAAATACCAGTTTTTGAAAAATCCCCATCATTCTCTTACCTAGAGAAGTAGGAGCACCAAGTGTCTGATGGTGATGGGCTGTTAATGTTCCATGTTTAATTTTTAATAACTGGCATAATTCGGAAAAAATTATGTTTTTATATTCTGTACCCATATCCGTTTTGAGCGTCCTCATTGGACCATTAATGATACTATTACTAGGATAGGATTACTAAGATACTACTGAGGATCGGTATTGTAATAAGATATATAGTCAAAACGCATAGGATTGTAACGGCGTATTCATTATTACGCCTACCTTGGTAGGGGTCCGATTGTGTCGATCTGAACCATATCAAATGCTTTTGCTGGCGTTGCAATTGCAAATTTCTTCTTTGTTGTGCTTGAGAGTTTTTTTCTTCAAACATTTTTCACAGTGTTTGATATAATGTTTTATATCTCTTGTCATGTTTTTCGACTGGTATTTTTGTCTAATTTTTCTATTTGAGCAATTGACTACCTGCTGGCCTCCAGTAATGGGGTCATCGTGGAATTATTTTAATATTTTATCGATCGATTTTTTGTCTTGCAACTATACTGTTTTTGGCTTTAACGCAATTGTTATGTCTATAATGTTTTTATTTCTCGTTTCTTGAATTCATTTAAACAATCTGCAGGTGCTCCGTACTTTGCTGCTATAAGCTCCATGAAAGTTGGAGCCGATTTATCGCATGTATTCTGTCAAGCAAATGCGGCCTCAGTTATCAAATCTTACAGTCCCGACTTAATCGTTCATCCAGTTCTGGACTGCTTGGATGCTGTTGATAAAATTAAGCCGTGGTTAGACCGCTTACACGTGATTGTGAGTAAATATTTTAATGTTTTTTTAATGAATTTTATTTCTTATATATTTATGTATATGCTTTCAAGGTTATAGGTCCTGGATTGGGTCGGGAACCCCTTATTTTGAAGACTGCAACAGATGTGCTAAAATTGTGTATAGAATTAAAAAAGCCAATTGTAATAGACGCTGATGGACTATTTATTCTGAATGATAACTTTGATCTGGTATGCGGACAACGGAATATCATACTGACCCCAAACGCTATGGAGTTCCGTAGATTGTTTGGAGAGGACACGAATTCAGCGCGTACAAAAATGTCTTGTCTGGGAGATGGTGTTGTGGTCCTGGAAAAAGGAGTAAATGATCAAATTCATATACCTCACACCAACGAAGTTCACTCTATGCCGACTGGCGGTTCCGGGCGTAGATGTGGTGGTCAAGGCGACTTGCTAAGCGGATCTCTAGCAACGTTTTTTCACTGGTCACTTCAATCCAACGAGCCAAATCCTGCTTATATTGCAGCTTGTGCTTCAAGTTATCTCGTGAAAAGAGCAAATTCGGCTGCATTTAAAAAGTTTGGTAGAAGCCTTCTAGCTAGTGATATGATAAATGAAATATCCACAGTTTTTCGGTCTGATTTCGAAGATGTGGAATCTGGATAAATAGGTCAAATAAATAACTAAGGTGTGATGTTGCGTTATTCTAGAATGGTTTTTGATTTGTCTTGTCCTACATTGAGCCTAGTACTCTGTGAAGGAGCATACTCCTCCACAAGCCATGGGGCCACCGAACCACTTCCCCCAGGTGGCGCGTAGGAACACTGACCCACACGCAGGGAGCTAGGCCGAAGCACCGATGTCACCAAGCCAATTTTAATTGTCTACCTTTGTTAATTTTCTTCTTTACTTCTTCCTTTTTTCACCTTTCATTATTATTATTATTATTGATTATTATTTACTTGACATAGCCGCCCCTAGAATAAGCGACAAAGACCTTACGTAAGAACCGAGCAACGTAGTCATTATTAGGAAAAACGGTGAGCGCAGGGGCGCTTTTATGTCTGTGAGGCTGCACACTTTGTTCACACGCTGCAGCATTTTGCAAGCAGCTTCGGTCAGACACAGGACAGAGGTAGGGAGAAATAGCTAAAAGCTCATGACTCAGCACAAATACCTAAATCAGTTTGATATTCTGTGCAGCATATGCATTAGGCTGGGCCAAAATTGGACCAACAAATTTTTTTTCAAGGGCACGCAACCAAATTCTGTTCTTTGTTATTCAATCAAATTATACAATTTTTTTCAAATTTTTAGTTTAATGTTTTGGGGTTGCTACCACGAAAAGGAAATACACTTTTTTGGTTAAATATACATACATTAAAAAAAATTTAATTCGTCGGTTTTTTCAAATAATATTGAAACTTAGAAACTATTTCATATTGATAATAAGGTATTTTTATTTTTTTTAGTTACTGTTAAAAAATTAACGATTGTTGAACATCAAAAAGTCCAGCTGAGGTTGATATATTTAGTTTAATAGTTCGCAAAAACTTGAGCAGGTTTTTTACTGCTCATATGCTGATATAAATGGTATCAATATATATGCAATAGATTTCACCAATTATTCAACTCATTCAGCTAAAAAATTTTGTTTGAATTTTCTTGATTGTAAAATTCGGTAGCAACCTCTAAAAAAATTAAAATGGAAACATGTAAATTACTATTAAGTCCAAAAATAGGGGGTGTCCCGTTTGAATAAAAAAAAAAATTTTTGTCCCAGCCTAATGTGCATGTATGATTGCATGCGTGCAATGAGATCGTTTACGTAACCCGTACACAGCTTCCGTGCAGCCGCTGCAACGTCTAGGACCACATTAAGATATTCGCGCTGAGTCATGAGCTTTTAGCTATGTATTTCTCCCTCTCTCTGCCCACTGTCTGACTAAAGCTGCTTGCAAAATGCTGTAGAGTGTGAACGAAGCATGCAGCCTCACAGACATAAAAGCTTGGCATGCAGGTGCTGCATCGTTTAGAAGCACCTTTAGCGCCCACGCACGCAACGGTAAGCACTCCCACGCAACAGCAGCGAGCGACACGAAGCGCCAGCAGAGGCTACCGACAGTGCAGCCGATTTTGGCACCTTGGGAGATGTGCGAGAAACTTGAGATCGAGACAGAAGCTCTAACTCCCAAACGAACCTGTCGTGTTTGCTAAAAGTCCGCCGTGAGTCGCGACAAAATCGAAAAAAGAGACGCCGACACCAATGGAAGCCAAGGAACAACGACGCCCACGACACCACATGGCCCAGCCTCCACCAGAAGAGGAGACAATCAACCGGAGCAGGAAGAAGTGGGGTATGCTAGTCTCACTTATGTAAGGACGAGGAGGATGCCACGACATCCACGAACTGGTCTTATCTCTTTCTCTAGTAGATCTTCAAGTATGTAGAACTCCCTCCATTGCGGGGACGCCAGCTGAGTGAAACTGTACGCGGATGCCACAGTCTTCATGATCTGGGCGCTTTCCCCCTACTCTAGCCTATCCTCCACTATATCCGGGTATAGTCGGCACCTCGTGCCTTGCCTTCCTCACCCAAGCGCCGTGAGGCGTACCAGTCCCGCGTGGTTTACGTCCCACTGTGCATGTCCGACGCCCACGTCGGCCACACGTTCCTGCACCACCTACATGCCTCTCCGACCGCTCTCTATGGTCTTTAATAAAAATTCTTTGCTGTATTAAAGGTCGGGCCTTGGACAGACTGAGAGACTGTACATTGGCTGAGAAATTTCTTACAACTCAGACATGCTAAATTTTCCGTCTACCTAATCAGGGATTATGTTCGTATGGAAACGATAAAACTGCATGCCTGCAATTCGGTCGACCAAAAATTTCGCAGCAGGCAATTTGCAGACCGGTATTCAGTTCGGAAAAACACAAGTCGGTTGATACTAGTAAAGCAACCGATGGTATTTTCCCATCTCGAGCGGAATGTAGAGTTATTCTATCTTTCGTCGTCCAAAAGACACACAAACACAAACACAGCCATTAAAACTGGAGGAAACAAACGAAAAAGCGCGGGACGTCTAGAAAAATATATGGCATATTTTGATAGCAAAAATATTTTTTGAGTCTAGTCTTTTTATTGAAAATGTTCTCCGTGAGTGAACAGTTTCAAAACTAATATTTAAAGTGCCATCTCTATTTCGATATATTTTTATATCAACAATGCAACAGATGAAAGTATTTATTACGCAATAGTAGTCTGTAATTAACTTTGTCCAAATAGTCTCTTGCGAATTTACAAAAATGAGAGTTTCTGAAGTAGCGCGCTCCTGTTTTAATACACTACGGTTAAACATTAGACCGCCTCCTATGACCCGGTCACATTTTACGTATTATCCCACAGCTGCTGGACCAGGCAATGCTAAAAAAATGAATATGTTTACCGCTATAAATAATGCCATGGATTTGGCTCTCCAAGAAGACAGCACGGCGTTAGTGTTTGGAGAGGATGTGGGTTTTGGTGGAGTTTTCCGGTATTAAACAAAGTCTCTCAGCAGTTTTTCTATATCTTAATATTGTTATATCCAACAGTTGCTCGGTTAACCTGAGAGATAAATACGGAAAGGATCGAGTTTTTAATTCACCATTGTGTGAGCAGGGAATCGCAGGGTAATATAATATAATTTCTATAGTATATTGTAGCATAAGAAACCAATGTTATATATTTTTTGTAGTTTTGCTATCGGTGTAGCTAACGCTGGGGCAACTGCAATTGCTGAAATTCAATTTGCGGATTATATATTTCCAAGTTTTGACCAGATCGTGAATGAAGCCGCGAAATATAGATATCGAAGCGGCGGCCTTTTCGACTGCGGTTCATTAACTTTTCGAGTTCCGTCTGGAGCAGTGGGTCATGGCGCACTTTACCATTCCCAAAGTCCTGAAGCATACTTTGCTCACACACCAGGCCTTCGCGTTGTGGTAATATAACTGTTGCTTACAATGGATGACAAGTTGGAAGTAAAATGTGCTAAAAAAATAGGTTCCCCGTGGACCGATTAAGGCAAAGGGTCTACTGTTAGCGTGCATTCGCGACCCAAATCCATGCATAGTTTTCGAACCAAAAACATTGTATCGTGCAGCTGTTGAGGATGTGCCCACAGAATATTACACCTCTGAGTTAGGCCAAGCCGATATTTTGAGGAATGGAAAAGACGTCACACTTATTGGCTGGGGTACACAAGTCCATGTGCTTTTAGAAGTATGTGCCTAATATATTTACCAAATTATTAAAATTTCTTTAGATTATTTCATTCAATTTATTTTAAGGTTGCAGAGCTGGCAAAAGAAAAGCATAATATTGATTGTGAAGTTATTGACTTAGTGTCAGTTTTGCCTTGGGACACTAATACCATATGTAATGTAAGCATAAAATAACATTGTTTTAAACCAATTATATTAATATGTATTTTAGTCTGCAAGAAAAACCGGTCGTGTTGTAATCGCACATGAAGCTCCGTTTACTCAAGGGTTTGGATCTGAGATAGCTGCATACATTCAAGACAAGTGTTTTTTGAACCTCGAAGCGCCTGTAAAGAGAGTGACTGGATGGGATACCCCCTTTCCCCACGTCTTTGAGCCATTTTATCTGCCAGACAAGCTGCGGTGCCTGTCAGCTGTTAAGGACATTGTGAACTATTAGAGACTCAGAAGCTTCAACAACATTTCAATCGAAACGGATGCATTTATTTATCCCTATTTCTTTTAATTTAATTGCGATGTATGTTGTTTAATAACACATGTATTTCTGCACCCCATGTGACAAATAAATCGTAGCATATCGGCAAATCGTAGCCCAATTCATGGATTTTCACAATGGAAACCGATATGTCTGCACCCCTGCATTGTTCTGGTGGGAAAGATAATGTTATACCCGTACTCGAAGAGTTAAGTGGTATATTAGATTAGTGGTACAAATGGATTTGTGCAACGTCCGTCTTGATGAGCGCCTAGTTCTAGACTCATGTAATATCGCAGTGCTACAAGTATATTTAAAAATTTCGCCCCGCCTTCCGCCAACAAAAAGTACGAAAATCTGTGGCATTCATAATTTTGTAGATACGATAAAACTAAAAACGCAGTATCGTAGAGAATGACCATATCTCCCAGGTAGCTGAATCTGAATTAGATTGGATAATTATTATAGCCAGAATAAAGAAATTAATTTTCAGTTGCTTCCCCCACCTCCTCCGGCGCTGTTGACGATATCATATTCTGCTTATTCTCTTTCTCGCTCGGACACTCTGCGTTGTGCAGTTTGAGGAAAAGATGTAGAATCTACATTGTGTATGTAGAATCTACATTTTAGATGTAGACGTAGATGACAGATGTAGCAAAGAATTGTAAAATGTAAATATTTTAAAATTCTACATATATTTAAAATCTATATATACATATATAAAAATGGAGAGATAAAAATGTATAGTGCATCATCACGTGAGAACGGCTGGGTAGATTTGGTTTAAGTTTTTATTCAGTTCGTATTTGCCAGAATGTTTCTACGTAAGAAAAACCATCGATCGCGATAAAATTGATTTTTAGAACGGCTGGGCCTATTTGGCGTCGTTCTCCAAATGACAACGGCCGATCAATCGTGATGAAAGTGAAAGCTTGGGTCTTATTTATACTGCATATAGCTGCATTCCTTAGCTTTTTAGAATGGCAATGAAAAGAGTGGCATTACAATCAAATGTAAGATACTTAAATTATGTGAAAAAAAAGAGCTACCTCTGAAAAAGCTTAAAAAAATATACCAGTTTTAAAAAAATCTTTAAAAAAAAGGTCTGCCGTAGAAAAAAAAACATAATTCTTTTAAAACTCCCAATTTATAAGAAAAAATCGGTTTGGTTTGAAGCAGAAAAGTTCAGTTTTATCGAGTGGTGTAATCAATATGGTTAATACCTAGAGCATTCCAAAACACGTTCGCCATGACAATATTGGCTAAAAAACTTACTTTGGCTTTCTTTTGCCTAGAATCACCCTTGAGCAACCTATTGTTTTGACTGCTTTGGTCTCTGTTGTGCTGTGATAGATCTACAGTTTCCACGTTTACGAAACGACGAAAAAACTCGTCCTTATTTGTGGTTAAACTACGCCAAGCACTCCTTCGCAGTTGTTACACAAACGCGAAAACACTTAGCTTTTTCATGTCAAATTTTTCGGTCAAAAAACAATTCGTACGAATTGAAATTGTGTGCACTCCGGTTTTCGTAACTTGTTCCTATCGATAGTTTTTCATTCACAAATTTTGGGTGCCTTTAGAAATGAATTTATTAAATGTATTAGGATATACGAAAATGAATTTTGAGTTATATAAATATAAACTTAAAACATCAGCGGAGTTCCTTATATTTTTTTCACGCTCATACAAGCTTTTATTTAGGTGCTATGTGCAATTCGTTTTGAAATCGCGAGCTCACTAGCAACCGGTTTCCAATCGTAAAAATTTTGCGATTTACGAAAACCGGAGCCCGCTTTTTGGCGATTTGATAAATTTAGCTTCGTAACTTTTTGCGATTTGCGATAACCGGAGCATGGTTGTATACGTTTGAACTTAAATAAATAATCACTTGAATGACCCTCGCTTTGTAGTCGACCTTACACTCAGTATTACGCTCCTGAATTAAATTTGTATTGAACTCACCACATTAGAAGACCGCTTATGCTCAGTTCACATGCACTTAGAAACCGAATAAATAGTTATTGGCTAGTACTCGAACCCCATCGACTTTTGATTATTCTGAGAAATCGACTAATTCGTTAATTAGTCGTAAATTGGTTATTATCACACCCCCACCTTTGTATAAATTATATTGAGGAAAATGCTCCTTGATTAAACAGTATTGAGTCACCAAACGATGACCAATTTTGTCCATGTTTGCAAATCAATTTAGGGAGTTATCTATTAAAATCGACAAAAAAAAAAATGGGCAAGGTAAAGGCACCAAACTTTAAACTGTAGCTTTTAATAGTCGACACTTCCCCTTTTTAATATTTTTTTGCGAACATTTTCCAACGCTATGATACGTCGAACAGTCGCTCGTTTTCTCTGAAGCCTACTACTCAGATCCAAAAACTGTTTGCTAGGAAACAAATGTCATATATTCTTCCAGCGGCCAGTTGTGTGTCTAGAGGTGTGCACTGCATTCCGTACGGTTAAACTGCTCAGACAGCTGCTTGGTTTTGTTTAAAGTTAATAAAATACACTTCTTCGGCTGGGGTCGCTCTTCCTCGGGCATATCCTGGGCTCCCCAATATTTTATTCTCAAGGTAATGTGTCTGACTATCAGCAGCAGCAGATGGCGACGCCTCCCGTGCCGACCACCGTGAAGACAAACTGTTTTAAAAACAATATTTGTTTTATATTTATGAAAATTAATAAAAAAAAATAAATTATAATATCGTATAATACTGCATTTATTAGATTATTTGTCTTCATTATTTAAATATTTCATTTGGTTTTTTGTTCTCATATTGCAATGTTTGCTTCGTGTTTGCTGGCAAAATATATCAAATTGATATAACTTTCGAGGTGGGCAGAAACATACCAGCAATACAAGCAAATACTTCGGATACTTATCTAGTATATACCGACCTTTCTTTGTTGATCTGAGTACTGCCACTAACCATACAGTATACTGTATATACTGTATATACTGTATACTGTATGGTTAGTGGTACTGCCTTCCGTACAGAGACTAAAAAACAGTTTTTGCCGGAAAAAATTTCTTATCGGTTTCATACGAATATCAACCCTGATTCTGTTCGCGAGGTGTTTTTTTGGATCCGAGTACTAGGCCTAAACACGTTGCAAAATTAATATTACTTATTTATTTATTTAATATTAATTAATAATATATATCAGTCTGAAATTTGATACATATATTTTCAATACTTAAAATAAATCTTCTTTAAATATTGAAATACTTAATTAAATGCGTATGCATATATGTATATAGCAAGAGGTCGTGGCTTGGCTAATCTAAAATTTACGTATTTATACCTTCTCAATGTGTTTGTTAATTGTTGGCTAGTTAGAATTTAAAACAAAGAAGATATTGAGAAACATCTCCTCAGCGTTTTCTAATGGCCGACTACGTAGTGCCGTTTAAGCCTAGTAATCAGATCGAAAAAAAAACACCTCGCGAACAGAATCAGGGTTGATATTCGTATGAAACCGATAAGTTTTACGGCAAAAACTGTTTTCTAGGCTCTGTACGGAAGGCAGTACTCAGATCAACAAAAAAGGTCGGTATATACTAGAAAAGTATCCGAAGTATTTGCTTGTATTGCTGGTATGTTTCTACCTACCTCGAAAGTTATATCAATTTGATATATTTTACCAGCAAACACGAAGCAAACATTGCAATATGAGAACAAAAAACCAAATGAAATATTTAAATAATGAAGACAAATAGAATCTAATTAATGCAGTATTATATGAATGACAGCTATATGGATATTATAATTTATTTTTATTAATTTTCATAAACATAAAACAAATTTTGTTTTAAAAACAGTTTGTCTTCACGGTGGTCGGCACTGGAGGCGTCGCCATCTGCTGCTGCTGATAGTCAGACACATTACCTTGCCAATAAAATATTGGGGAGCCCAGTATATGCCTGGGGAAGAGCGACCCCAGCCGAAGAAGTGCATATTATTAACTTTAAACAAAACCAAGCAGCTGTCTGAGCAGTGTAGCCGTATGGAATGCAGTGCACACCTCTGGTCACACACTGGCCGCTGGAAGAATGTATAACATGTGTTTGCTAGCAAACAGTTTTTGGATCTGAGTACTAGGCTTAGAAATGTTGTCTTGGCAACTACGAACAACTGAACAAAATTTGAGCCAAGTCGGCCCAGCCGTTCTAAAAATTAACTTTGTTCGCGATCGATGGTTTTTCTTACGTAGAAACATTCTTCTGGTAAATACGAACTGAACCTAAACTAAATCTGCCCAGCCGTTCTCACGTGATTATGCACTATACATTTTTATCTCTCCATTTTTATACCCGTACTCAAAAAGAGTTAAGGGGTATATTCGATTTGGGGTAAAAATGGATGTGTGCAACGCAGAGAAGGAAACGTTTCTGACCCCATAAAGTATATATATTCTTGATCAGCATCAAAAGCCGAGTCGATATAGCCATGTCCGTCTGTCCGTCTGGCTGTCTTGTTGAGCGCCTAGATATCAGAGACTATAAGAGATAGGGCAACCAAATTTGGTTTCCAGACTCATGTGATATCACACTGCTGCAAGTATATTTTAAAATTTCGCCTCACCCCCTTCCGCCGCCACAAAGAACGAAAATCTGTGTCAGGCACATTTTTAAAGATACGATAAAACTAAAAATGCAGTATCGTAGAGAATGACTATACCTACCAGATTGCCGAATCTGAATCAGATCGGATTATAATTATAGCCAGAATGAAGAAATTGATTTTTAGTTGTTTCCCCCGACCCCTCCTGCCAGCGGCGACCAAGCTACTCATTCTCTTTCTCGCTCGCATACTCTGCCTTTCAGTGCGCGAGCAACCCCTAGCGGAGGATTTGTAGAATCTAAAAGGTACATGTAGAATCTACATGTTAGATGTAGAATATACATTGTATATATAGATGTAGATAACATATGTAGCAAAAAAATTTTTTTTTATTCTAAAATTCTAAGAAATCATGCTCAAAAATGTATATACTGACTGAGTACGGGTATAAGTAGAGTCGCGTCCCCAGAAGCGACTCACACGTTCCTTCTCGTTTTTTTTAATTTCTTAAAACATATTTTTTTTAAGCTTT